ATGGTCAAAACTTAAAAGAATGAGTTTGGGATAAAGCTAGGGGATTGAGGATTCTATTTCTTATCTTGAAGCTTCCAACAAGGAAATGTAAACTCACAAAGCTTTCACATTTGTTTAAGATGTTATGAGGAAGAAGAAATAGAGTTTTAATGAAGAGAATAAGAAGACAAAGAGTTGTGCAAAAATATATATGAGAAGCCTTCAACCGTGATATCATTATTCTTAATTAAAAATAAGCATTTAGATAAATTTAAGGGTTTTTTTCTCTTCTAATCTTCCATCTTTCATGCCCAAATCAAAAATCCACTTTTATGCCTTATTATACTCAAGACCAAACTAAAACAAGCCAAATCTTTACCCAAGACTTCTAAATGGTCTCTTGGGCTAATTAAAACCCATTGAGGTTTATACGTAACTACTAACCCAGAAATCAAGGTGTTACAACTCTCTCCTCCTAAAAAGAAATTTAGTCCTTAAAATTTAATTAAATAGAAAAGATACAGAAACTAGAGTTGCATATCTTCCTTAGTTTCCCAAGTTGCATCTTCCACACCATGGTTCCACCACAAAACTTTCACTAACGGGATCCACATATTCCTTAGCTCTTTTACCTCTCGATCCAAGATCCTTAACGATTCCTCTTCATAAGTCAAATCTTGGCTCACCCCTATATGCTTTCACAGAATAATGTGGGATGAGTCGGAACGATACCTCTTAAGCATCGACACATGGAACACATTATGGATGTGCTCTATCTTTGGTGGAAGGGTTGGTCGATAGGCCATGGGTCCAACCCTTTTCAAAATCTCATGTGTCCCAATAAAGCGTTGAGTCAATTTCCCATTCCGTTCAAATCTGATGCCCTTTTCCATGATGATACCTTGAGAAACACCTTGTCACCCACTTGAAACAATATATCCTTATGATTCAAGTTTGCATATGACATTTTTCTGTCAAAAGCCTCCCTAAGTCTTGCCTGAATCAACTTGACTTTCTCTTTTGCCTCTTTAATCAGGTATAGGTCGACCAACTTTCTTTTGCTAAGCTTGGTCGAATAAAACCTTTTTCTAAGAGTTCTTAGAGATGTACTTTAAGCTCCTCAAACTCTATCAGTGTCGTGCGATAAGGAGAAATGGACACTGGTGTTGATATCGGCAAAACTTCTATTTTGAAATCCAACTCTCGGTCTGGCAGTAACCAAGTAGTTCTTTCAAGAACACATTCATAAAATCATATACGGCTCAAATATCTCCTATTACTAGACTCTGAACTCTTGAGTCAACTATGTGGGCCAAAAATACCTCACAACCCTAATCTAAATACCTTCTAGCTATCAAAAAAATGATTCGAGACATACACTCGAGATCCTTACCTGACATTACCACTTTGCTCTCATCACCCTTTCTTAGTTTGAGTTGTCTTGCTCTAGACCTCAGGCTTATATTGTGCTCAGTTAGCCAATCCATCCTTGTTTTTACATCGAATTCTCTAAATGGTAACTCCATTAAATCGACTAGGAAGGTTTCACCTTGAACCTTCACTAGACAACGATAATGAATCATGTTTATAAGGACATCTAATCCTAAAGGGTTAGAGACTTGAACTCCTATCTCTAAGTTCTCAGCAAGTATACCTCTCTCATGAGCCAGGTCACTACAAATGTAAGAATAAATAGAACCCAGATCCATAAATGCAGTGATATGAAAAGAAAACACCATAAAGATACTTGAAATCACATCGGTAGCGTCGCACTAGTTTTGAGCTCTCACAACATACTGTCTCAAAGCAACTCTCAATGTGTGCCTAGAAGTAAACCTAGCAATACCTTCACTATGCTTACCAAAAACTGAATCACCACCTCTCGAAAGTCCCCAACCTTTTTGAATATATGGTGTTGATCTTTGAGTCGATGTCGAAACCTTACTCTGAACCATAGGTCAATCTCGAATGAAGTGGTCGAGTGAGCCACAACCATAGAAAACCTTCGTCATATGGTGGCACTCTCCTAGATATCAATTACCACAATTTTGGCATCTAGGGTGGCATGTGTCCCTCATCGGTCCATTGATACTCATCATTGAAGCTAAGGCTAAGGTCTCTTCCTAAACTCTGATCTACCCCCAGTCTGAAGTATGGCATGAACTTTGAGTGTCTACAGTGGGGGATCTCCAAGACCCATGAGAATCCCTGGCACTCTTGGATGGAGCCTGATGTGATCTAGTCAGCTCGGATGCCCTTGAAACCTACCCTATAGAATTGCTCATGACCTTGACTCTCATCATCACACCCTCTCAATTACTTCAGCCTAACAGGTGAGCTCAACAAAAACTCTCAGAGGATTGGTTGCCAACTGAGTGTGAATATCCAAATGAAGGCTCTCTCTAAACGTTCGACACCTCAAATCTTCGGTAGCTACCAGCTCCAGTGCATACCGGCTCAAATAGAGAAATTCCCTCTCATAATCTATCATTGATTTGTCGCATGGGCTTCTTTTAATGTATTTCTACCGGAACTCATACAAAAAATACTCTCTAAACTATAAACTTTAAACCTTAAACCATAAAATGTATTCTCAAATCATCAACATGGGCTTCTTTTAATGTATTTCTATCAGAACTTAGACAGAAAAAACTCTCAAGTGGAACGTTTGATCTCCAATGCTAACACCACTATCTCCTACCATTCAATGGCATCACTCTTTAGCAGGGCAATGATGCACTCTAAGTTTCACTCAAGGGTGAGGTGAAGCTAGCGAAGGTACAAAGTGTCATTCTCAGTCAATGGTCTGTAGTTATGGGATCATCTTCCCCAGAACCATAGAAATTTATCGTCTTATACTGGAGAAGCCTCTCAATCGGTGACTTTGATGGAGGTGCAACGAGAGGAGCGGCTGGAGCGACAGAGGCTCTTAAGAAGGCACACACTATGTGCCTCAAGGCTTGGGTCAGGTCAGGGAAGAAGGTCACCTCATCGACCCCCGCGTCAGCTAAAACTTCGAACTCCACCGAGTTCGATATAAACTCATCACCTAGGTCATCCGCTAATGACATGTGACTTTCATCCCTACCCTCATTACTAGGAGCATTATCATCGACCATCACTTCTCTAAAATTAAAAAAGAGGAGGCTAGTATCGTCATTCTAGATTATTAAGTACTTTTGACACTCTAGATGCATGTACTCACTAACACTTATTGACTCTAACTCGTGGGTCTTAGGAAAGACTAAACTTGATGCTCTGATTAGGGCTGTAAATGAGACGAGACAGATCGTGAGCTACTCGAGATCGACTCGATAAATACTTGGATCGAATGGACTCGACTCGAGCTCGACTTGAATTCTTAACGAGCCGAAACAAGCTACTCGATATTAGACTCGGAAAGCTCGTGAGCTACTCGAAAAAATGTTATATTATAATTTTAGATTTTTTAAAATTACAATATAAAAATTTATTAAAAATACATTATTGATAATTATAAAATTTAAAAAAATATATTAAAAATTCTATAATACAACTACCCTCAAATTTTTTTTTTACTTAAGCAACTCAACTCCAATTGTTACATTGTATATTACTAAAAAAATAAAATCACATTTAATTAAGCACATGTTAGATTACAACCTAAACCCTAAACTCTAAACTATAAACCTTAAATCCTAAACCCTAAACCCTAATATCTAAGACATAAATCATAAACCCTAATCCTTAAGCCATAAACCCTAAATTATAAACCATAAATCCTAAACCCTTATTTCGATTATGTGATAGGAATTAAGTTATGCACATGAAGGTAACATATAAATTATGCAAAATGAAATTAATGAAATTAACAAGGGTTTATATGTAAATAAATTGAATTAAGATATTTCTGTGGATGATTCGAATGTAAATAAATTTAGACTCAGTAGACATCAAGCTTATATTTCTGTCGAGTTTCAAGAATTCTAGCAACTGGATTAAGATATCCATTATCAAATAAGGCTTAGGTCTTTTATGTTGGAAAGATATGGCAATGTCAACTTTATTAGAATGATTAATGAATTATGGACTTTTTAGCTTCCACGTGTTCGTTTAATTAGCCTTCCACTTAAAAATGTAGATTAGGTTATTAAAGTCTTTCCTTCAACCCAAAGAAAGCACTAAAACAATCGTTTCCCGTACATAATTGATTCATTTGTAATGTTCCAAAGCTGGAGTTGTTCACCAAAGTATCTGTTATAAAGTAGGCAAAGTTGGTGAACTAAATAAAGCACAGTTGCCCTCCTTTTTCCATCACATTTTACCCTTTATAAACCAAGCCCCTTCGACTTTCTCCTCCACAAGCCACTAATACTAGCATACTACTCCATTGGTTCTTTCCACCTTCCTTTCAATCTGTTTAAGAGCAAATTTTGGGTAATCATTGGCAACAAGAAGAAGGGATGAAATAATATTTGCATCAGTGTTCATAGTTGCAGTGTGTTTATGGACCGGAGCTTTGGCGCAATCGAGTTCAAGTTGCACCAATGTGCTCATTAACATGTCCCCGTGCTTCTCCACTCATGAGAGCACTTGCCTTGGGTGGTTGGTTCCATTCACTGCTGCGAATAACCGCACTCAATAATATCAAATTCATAAAAAATGAGTTAAATAGCTACATATTTTCAATGACAAAAGTTACTCACGGGACTTGATCTTTGCAACTAAAGTTACAGGGGCCATAGAAATTGACCTTACAGCAACAACAATCTCGCATGGTTATAATTTCTAGAATTTTAATAGGAAGGAGACACCATAAAGAGAAAGGCAAAGAAAATAAAAGAACCATTTACACTTGTTAATTCAAACTTGATAGTTTTCCAAGCCAGACCCTAATTCTAACATCATTCACCAACAATAAACGTACGTTTTTGCTTATTCATCTGAAACAAGACACAGGAAAAATGTAAAGACAATACATACCAAACTTAGGAAGCGAACAGACTAATAAATAACAACATAAACCCTTGAAACTCTTTTAGTTTTTAACCAGAAATGTCAATGGTTTTGACATCAGGTTTCTTCACTTCCACCTTAGAAACAGTAACAGTAAGAACCCCATTCTCCATTGAAGCCTTAACCTGATCCATCTTCACATTCTCCGGTAACCTAAACCTTCTCGAAAACTTCCCACTGCTCAGCTCCACACGGTGCCACGTATCATTCTTGTCTTCCTTTTCTATCTTCCTCTCGCCGCTGATTTGAAGCACCCTGTCATCTTCGACCTCAACTTTCACTTCCTCTTTCTTAAGCCCAGGAAGATCAACCTTAAAGACGTGAGCTTCTGGGGTCTCCTTCCAGTCGATGCGGGTGTTTACAAAAGCAGAGGTTTCAGGAGAACGAGTTGCGAGTGAAGAAGGGAAAGGGAAGTCCTTGAAAGGATCCCAAACATCAAGAGAGAAATGATGCTCGAGGATGAAGATGAAGGCTCTGAAGTTCTCGAACAAGTAGTGCTCTCAACAATATCCCACATCCTGGAGATACTATAAGATGACAGGACAAGCTCATTATAAAACAAGCGGGGTTGTGCAATTTAAAACATATCTGTCTCGGCCTTTTGTCTAATATTCGAGCATGTATTGAGCTTAAAATCGAGCTTGAATCGAGTTTCAATCGAGCTTGAGTATTGAGTTTCAATCGAATTTTTGAATTTTTTTTGAGTTCGAGCCTTTTCGAGTTCGAGTCGATTTTTAATATTAATTTTTGAGTTCGAGTCGAGCTTGAAAAATTTAGGCTCGCGAGTTTTTGAGTCGAGTCGAGCTTACTATAAAAGTTTTTGAGTTCGAGTCGAGCTCAGTAATACTCGAGCTCGACTCGGCTCGTTTACACCCCTAGCTCTGATACCACTAAATGTAATGCTCTAATCCAGTTCGACCCGAAAATTGATGGATTAGAACCTTACATGGGACCATCGAAGTGGCTAACATAAAATTTTCTTTTAAAATGACATCCAACATAATTAAATCAAACTCATAAAATTAAAAATTATTTTAAAACATACAAATTTAGTGTTAACAAAATAGGAGCTCCATCGTAAATTCAAAATACATAAGCTCAAACAATGAAGTTTACAACTTAAATACAAATAAAGTCTTTATGAGGTACATGCTAACTATATAGTATCTAAGACACAATCTGATTAGAATGATCCAAGATGGAAGTCACAATTGGTGATAGCTCCTCGGTCCGTCCTCCTAAGAACCTGTAGATGGAAACACATTCCGAACGTTATGTTCACAAGCTTAGTGTCTCACAAATAACTCTAACGTACTATATGCATTCATCACATGGGCATGAGAACAAGTGTAATCATGAACAAGTGTAATCATGAACAAGTGTAATCATGAACATGTACTATATGCATTCATCACTATTCTTAATTGAAAAAATTAGCCTTTGGATAAATTTAAAGGTTATTTACTCTTCTAGCCCTCCACCTTTCATGCCCAAATCAAAAACCCTCTTTTTAAGCCTTAATAGGCTCAAGCCCAAACTAAAACAAGTCAAATCTTGACTTAACACTTCTAAATAGTCTCTTGGCCTAATTAAAACCCATCGGGGTTTATCCGTAACTACTGACCCGAAAATTAGGATGTTATAGTTCAAGCTATGAATGAGGAAATTCAAGCTCTTAAGTCTGACAAAACTTGGTCTATTGTGACCTTACCTCTTGAAAAAGTCCCTATTGGCTGCAAGTGGGTCTTCAGAATCAAGTATAAAGCTTCTGGAGAGGTGGAGCATTTTAAGGTTCAACTTGTAGCTAAGGGTTACAATCAACGAGAGGTGTTGATTTTGTTGAAACCTTCTTGTCCTTGGCAAAGATGACTATTGTTCGCTTCTTTCTTGCTATTGTTTCTACATTTGGCTGGTCCTTATGTCAAATGGGTATATATAATGCCTTTTTACAAGGTGACCTTTTTGAGGAAGTTTATAAATTGAGGTATCTTAAGAAAAATTCGGTTCAAAGTATACTATTGTGTGCAAAGAATGCTCTTCGTTTATATGTATATTGTGATTCGGATTGGACAACATGCCCAATGACTGGAAGATCAATAACGGGATTCTGCATAAAGTTAGAAAATTCTTTAATTTCTTGAAAATAAAAAAAGTAAACCACAATAGCACGCTCATCAGCGGAGGCAAAATATAAAAACATGGCATTTGCCGCGGTTGAAATTGTGTGCTCAGAAGGGTTGATGTCAGATTTTGGCGTTGACAAAACTTGACCAACAAAGTTGCTTTGTGATAACAAGGCTACACTGCAGATTGCAGCCAACCTGTTTTCCATGAAAGAACCAAGCATATCAAGATCGATTGTCATTTCGTTCGGTAGAAAATACAAGAAGGGTTGATTGAAACTGAGTGTGTGCGTACTTTTGAACAGTTGGCAGATATTATGACCAAGAGTTTAAGTGTTCATCAACATGAATATCTTATGTCCAAGTTTGGTTCAAAGACATCTTCTCACCCTTCAACTTCAGAGGGAGTGTTGAGGTTAGTTTAATTACAGGCAGTTAGTTTGTTATCAGGGTAGTTAGGCAGTTTAGTTTATTTACTTTCTTGTATAAATATCTTTGTATTGTAAACTTAATTTAGATGAATGAAATACAGAAGTATTCTTTATCTTCTCTGGTTATCACAAATTTAACAGGAAGCATAGGCCGCTGATTTGGAAAGGGAGACCATCAAAGTACTACTGGCAACTGTTTCCACCATTCACAAAAATGCTAAAAAAAATCCATAACAAAATGAACAATGAATCGTTTTGAGAAGGAAAGGGTTTAGATTTATGAATTTGTAATCGTGGTGAATAGAGATTTAGTGGCTGGAATTTTAAGTGATTTCAGTAATTTACGCCGGCCTTCCCATCGGAATCGGATGCTTTCTTCACTCATCCATCACCCAACACATGCCAATATCATATCGCCTCTCTCCCAGAAAAATGAATCTCTAATCGCCCGGCTAGTTTTCTTAGTCGTATGTAACTTTTGGGACCTATTTTGGTATTTATGTGCACTGCCTTACTCAACTTTTTTAATGGTGCAATTAGGTATTTAGTATTTTTGTTGATCAGGATCAGTGAAAGATGTTTCCGTTTGTTTTCCCTTCTAAAAGCGGTAGTTCTAAGGTCATGATTAAATTAAATTTATCATTTATGTTATAATATTATTTATTATTATTATTATTATAAAATAAAAATAAAATTTCAAGTAAAAAATTTGTAACATAAATAATCTTTTATGTATTATATAAATTTTTTAAAAATTAAATCGAACTAGGTGACTAAGACAGAACAAAATTAATGATTATTTAGAGAGAAAAAATGATTAGATGACCAAAGCAAAACTAAAAGAATAATTGAGTGACTAAGTATATAATTTATCACAAATAAAATAATTTAAATTTCACGAGACAACATATAAAAGAGAACTTAAAACAAAGTGTGTATAGTTGAAGGGCAATGGTGCGTTTAAACCTTGTTGAAATAAAAAGATAGTTAACAGTTGGTTGCATAGTTTGTTACTCAGTTAAGCAATGTAGTTAATCAAAAGGCAAATTGAAAATTCATGTAAACCAAGATTTTAAACCAATTTATATGACATAACCCTCATGCCAAGCAAAAGGTTACCTTCGTATATTAAGACCATAACTACAGATGGATGCACAAGTAAACTAAGTTGACCTTTGTATATACGTATTTATACTTGGGGGAATTAATGGGTTACTTCTCTAAACAAGATAACATTCTACACATGACTTCTGGGATCAACAACCCCGTGCACCCTCCTCGATTCCGCGCTTGAATACTGCCCCACCTCACGAGCATGAGGAACCGATGCCTCACCTTGGGCAAGAGCCTCCACGTTCTCGAGGAAGTACTTCCTCGGAAGCCTGCCTACTACGTTTCCTTCCTCGTTTCCCTCTTTGTCAAGGAACGCAAAGTGCGGAATACCCTCAACACCAAACTCATCGAGTTCTTGTTCCCACTTCGTGTTGTCGACGTTCAGCATGACGAAATTAACACGATCCCTGAATCGAAATGTATAACCAGAAAGCATATTTGTTCATAAACAAATGAAGAAAGAAGCAGGGTTCAGAGAAATAAATGAAAACAGAAACAATGTCAAGCCTTTACCTGTACCGCTGCTCTACTTTATAAATATCAGGAGCTAATTCCCGGCATACTTCACACCAATCTGCGTAGAACTCTACAACAGTTGGCTTTCCATTTGAAAGAGCCTTTAGAACCAGCGAAAAAAGACTAGTGTTAGAGAATGTTGCAACCCTATATTCCAACAAATGTTAGTCTCTGGGGCGGACGCATGATTTTATGTTACGGAATAAACTTCTAAAATTTTAGAGATGGGGGACTACAATACATATCTGATAAATTAAAGAACAACTAAAATCTAACACAAAGAGAAACCATTGAATAATCTCGTTGGTAAAAGGGAATGTTTTTTTCCCTAGAAGACCCGAGGCCTAAATCCTAAAGCGTAACTAGTCAACTATGGATTTACCTGAGGCCTAGATCCTGCAAAACGATATAGCAATGGAGTAAAAGAGTTAGAAAATGAAACCTCTTCATAAGGCACTGCTGCAGCAGATAAGTCCTTCAAAGAAACACCAAAGTCCAATCGCGATGACAGGAAAAGTCCCACTGCTGCAAGCGTAGAACCAACTGCTATTCGCCTACTTAAATTTTTGTTTGGAAATTCAGAAAAGCCTCCTCCATCAGACGAAGTTGTTGTAGCTTCGCTAGTGCTATCTTTGACTGAATCAGGCTCCACAAGTACCTTTTCCTGCTTAAAACACGAATTAATTCAAAAGAAGAGATATTTTCAAACCTAAAAAGGTCTCAAGACAAGATATAATCAAACAACACCAAATGAACCTCCTATCAAAAAAACACCATATGAACCAAAAAAGACATGATCTCTTAGTCTTAAAACTCACTTGAAAACTGCACAAGTTCCAATTAGATTATCACTTTAATCAAGCATAAAAGTAAAACATAACCAGGTCATACCAGCATAAGGGGAAGAAAAGGAGAAATCTTTTGCAACCAAGAAGATTCAGCATAGATTGAAGTCTAATGATACCCTCATATTAACCCCATTTATATTCAAATCAATTAGTCAATTCAACAACCATTAAAATGTTTACATGATTTTCCATCTAGCATTTAAAAGAACATGTTTTCTGATGTGTTCTCTAAGGTAAAGTTTGAGAAATAGGATTTCAGGATATGGAATTGAACTTTAAAGATAGTGTCAAATGAGTAAAAAATACCTAGAAACGTAACAATTATGATTATTTCTCAAATCCTTCAATTTATTAGATATCTATATACTAGGGGTATTAAAAAAAACCCGAATAATTTATATATATTTTTAATAAAATTTGTATACAAATAACGTAATATATTTTTTATTATTTTTTATTTTTTATTTCTTTGAAAATATAGAAACATACTTACACTAATATAATTATATGTTTATTGTTAGGTACTAAGATATTGGGAAATGTACATACTTACATCGGTGTAAGTACGTGTTAAGTGCTACACTTATTTACTTACACCGTTGTAAGTATGTATTAAGTGCTACACTTTTTTATTTTATTCACTTACACCGGTGTAGTATGTGTTAAGTGCTACACTTTTTTGTTTTATTTACTTATACCGGTGTAAGTATGTGTTAAGTGCTACACTTGTTTATTTTATTCACTTACAGCGGTGTAAGTATGTGTCAAGTGCTACACTTATTTATTTTATTCACTTACACCGGTGTAAATATGTGTCAAGTGCTACATTTTTTTGTATTATGAATTATGAAAAAAATTGACAAATATTTGTAATAGGTTAATCTGTAACCGAACCGTCAATAACAGTTAACCATTTGCGATTAGCCGTTTCTTAATGGTTAGATTACAGTTAAAAAAAATCTCATAACCGTTATAACGGTTAACCGCCCGTTTAGGCTAAATAATACACTTAACCGGCCATGAACATCCCTACTATATACTAATGATTTTGGAATTCCAAGTTTATATTTGTATTTACTAAATCCAAATTTCTATATTTTCATCTATTTATTATATTGAAAATTAATTATTTTTCTTCAATGCATAAATTTATTCATATCATTTACATATAAATGAAATCCAATCTTTTATTCAGTCCAATTTTATCAAAAAAAAATGAAAAATGAAGTTTAATTTTTTTAAAATAGTTTAGAGTAATTATAAAATAGTATAAGTTAATAATATTTCTTAAATATCGACAACCCATTTCAAATGTAGCTACTTGACCCAAGATAGTTTAGAAATAACAAAATTTCCTTTTAATGCTAGTTCAACGAAATCTAAAATTTATAACCCATTTTCTATTTCAACTCATCCATTCTTATCTTCTTCTAGTACTGGAGGGAAGAAGCAGATAAAAACTATATTTTTATCGTAATCGACAGATGTCGAATTGCCCTCAGCTAAAATTAGCAGCAACCCTTTTCATACAAATGAAGATTGCAACCTAATATGCTAAATAAAAAAAATAAGGGAAAACTAAAAGCAGAGAGAGGAATAAAGTATGGAGAGTTCACCTTCTCTGAGGGTTCTGTTTGGGTGGGAACCGGATTTGTTTGACAGGAAATGGTTTGAAACTTGCGAGTTCTGTTCTGGGAAACGAACGGTGATTTGAAGAGGCGCGTGGTGGAGTCTGAAAGTTGAAATTGAGGCTTGAATCTTGGGAGAGAAAGAGGGTTCGAGGCGACGCGAGCCATTGCAGATATTTTTTCCCAGCTGCTATCTTGATTTGGTAGTTGAACAAAAGTTTAGAAACTATCGGGTCGGGTCGGCCCTACAATTGCATTGTTGCTCGCTGGGAAGCCACGTATTGCATATCAAGGCCATGGGTCTGATGCTCTTCGGAGTTCACTCCCTCCTTCCAAGTGAAAGCAACAACGACGTATAACCTTTGTTTATGGAAACTTTTATTATCCACTGGTTTTAGATTTTTAAAACGGTTTTAATGGACTGGTTTCTTTTTTCTAAGAATTTAATTAATATGAAATTAGTATAAGGTAATATTTGTTTAGAAGTAATTCTCAATTAGGGTCGTTTATGACATTTTTGAGATTTTAGTGACATGTGATGAAAATATAAATTAAGTCTCTTATAATAAGTATAAAAAAATTGAATAGTAAGAACAAATAAAAGTAAATAAATTTGTTTATAAATTATTTTTATGTTACGTTTAATAAACTATCTACAAATATATATTAAATTTTAAATAGAAAATATTAAAAATTATTAAACACCCAACTACTCATACAAAACAAGTATGATCATCTTTTAAAAAAATACATGTTAGATTTTAACATTCTTCATCATGAATAGTAAAAAATATTTAACATTGTGTATGATTTTAGAAAAAATGAAAAAAAATAATTGAATGATAAAAACATAAATAAAATAATAAATAAATAAATAACTAAATAAATAAATAATTTATCATATAAATAATTTATATGATTTCGTTGCATTATCTAAATTTTATAAAATTATTGATATAATAGTATATTCAATAAAATATTTTAAAATATAAAATATATTTATTAATATTTAAAAATTATATAATTAAATTAAATAAAATACTTATTTTTACCCAACTCAAATTAAAATATATTTCATCTAAATTTTATATGGTTTATATTTCATCTAAATTTATTTTAAACCAAATGAATAATCTAATCTATAGTTACAAATACATAATATCGTTAAATAATGTAAAAATAGAATATTTATAATTATGAGAAAATATGAATAAATTGAAAAATATTTTTTGAATAAAAAATAATTATTTTAATTTAATTTAAATCAAAATTTTAAAAGGATGAAAATCCTATTAGAACTAAAAAAAGGTATTAATTTAAATCAGTAATCAGAGGTGTTAATTAAAGGAATTAAAAGAATTATTACTATTTTTAGAAATCATGGATTCAAGAAGTTATGTTTGTAGGATCGAATCCCATGGAGGACATTTCATAATTTAAAAGTCTCGGAAGCTGCTCTCAACCTAATGTTAGGGGCACCCTACTATCTTACCTCCCTTTATCCCATTACATATGAGAAACAAGAGACATCCAATAATGATTAAGAAAAATTCAGAACATATAACAAAAGGATTAGATATCATTTTAAATAAATAAAATTAATTAATTAAATGTTAAAAAATATTCTTCACTTTTCATATCATACACACGTCAATAAAGAATTAAAAACCTAACAATTACAATGAACATGTATAACAATGTTGATAATGTAAGCAAACGGTCTCACCAGATTGCCATTGAAAACATCTATAAAACAATAGCAAACAATCAATTATATGGAAAAGAACCAACAGTAATGATAAGATGAGATCCTCTAATTTCAATGCTTAACAACTCTCAAATATGTGCTACAACCAGTCATCCCTTGATCTAGCTATAGAAAATCAAAAGCACCTCCGGAAATAAGTGGTGAACAACTATAGTAACGAGGGACAAGCACCTGATTTTCATGTGTACGAACTTAAAAACTACTATTAAAAATTTGGTGGTGTAAAGTTACAAAATTTTAAGGGGTGCAAAATTATAGATCATCAATAGAAAATATAAAGAAAATACTTAAACTATATAGGGATTTGTTATCAGTCCATTCCCGATAACAACCAGTAATGTATTCTAACTAAAAAAGTCTAGGCTCGAGACAAATACACCAAAACAGATCAATATCGACAAAATGAACGAATCCTACGACCAATATTCAAAACAACCGAACTTGAAAATTACGCCAACTGTAGGGATCAAATAAACAAATGAACCCATATGAATTATATAGGTGACCTAGAAAACAAGATTAACTTAATACTCAGCTCTACATATCGATTGCCATCGTAGGTGCAATAAACAAATGAACACATAAGAATTATATAGGTGACCTAGAAAACAAGATTAACTTAATAGTCAGCTCTACATATCGATTTTCATCGTAGGTGCAATAAAGAACAACTCAAGATCTAACCACATCTGAATTCCATCATCAATGATCAGTGTAGCAAGATCAACCAAATTGATTTGTATTATAAAAAAATGTCTCAAGATCCAAACTAAATCAAAAACCACACCGAGTTTTGCATAATAAGAAATCAAAATAAATCATCTCAAGACTTAAATTAGTGAACAAAGATATGAGAAATTAACCAAATCCTTTCAGGAGATAATTAGTGAGCAAAATCAACCAGATCTCAAGAAAATCAACTAAATTATTGGATTGTTTGAAACAGTTAACATCAGTTTACATAGTGCACCTATGGTGAGGTGAGGGGCCATTTCTTTCATCTTACTGAAGGAAAAACCTATGTTCGAGCAGAGCAAAATTGGATAGAATGAAGTTTCTAAAGAGGAATTATCCAAGCAGTGTCTGGAAACTCAAAAGTTATTGACAGAAGATACATTCTAGAATTCAATTATGAGGAAACAAAATCCTAAACCATCTATTCATTTTAATGAAACAAACAGATTAAGAAATACAAACTAGAAGCAAAGCCATAAACTAAAATGAAAGCTAAGAAATTTCAAAAGAAGACCATCCATATAAGAATAAATTGCTTAGATCATTGATGATGTAGTCAGTAGACATCTATAAACTTCAGCCTCAGCTAAAACCATCTCTCAACTAACACTAGCTCAGCAAGACAAATGGCAGGCACTGAACTTGATAATATAAATAATGCACGAATAATCCATGGAGGCTACAATTTCAAATCCCAAATGATATAAACTTGTTCATATAATAGAAAAATTGCATGCAGATATTACTAAAGCCTCAATTCCAACTCAAAAATCTGCTCTCAATGGTGAACAAAAACAAATTCATAACTAGGCATTAATTTTAACCAAAACCCTAACATTTTCTTTCATCAAATTACTACTTGAAAAATAAATATTCAACAATAGAAGCATATAATTCTCATTCCATAATGAAGTCCTTCAAATTATCCAAAAACACATTAGAGAGGAAATATCTAAACAGAAGGGTCACAACAAAGGAGTAGCCCAAACATAACCATTCTCAAAATCAAGCACTTAACTAACTCAATCGCGGTTCTTAAGCCTCTCGAGGCGCTGATTCAGTTGGTCAACCCTAACAACAAGGTGAGTAACGGAGTAAAGAAGCCAATAGAAAAGAAGAGCGGCGGCGATGAGAAGCGCGTTGCGTTGGCTCTTCATGATGGATTTCTGGTGACGGAGATGCTCGGAAGGAGTACAGGAATCAGCTTCGCAGCTGGGCCGGGTCTCGTATTTCCAGTATATGTCCATAAGGAGGAAGAGACAAAAGGGGACCACCGACATGAAGGGCTTGAGGAGGCTACGCGTGACGGCGATCAAGCCCTTACGGAGAGCGTCGAGGCCGGGGAGTGTGAGGAGGAGTATCATGATGGCTTCTGCACCGGCGGCGTAGCCAAGCACTACCCATTCTAGCGCCATTTTCTCTCTTTGGGATTGCTAGATTAGATCCGATATTAATGAAGCCAATGGTTGTTTTCTTGGCGAGTAAGATCTAAAGATTTGAGCGGTGGCCTGTGGGAAGAACACGTGCTGCGTTTGTGTAGCCCAGCGTGACCTAACACATGGCTGCCTAATAAGGGTTTGGGCTTTTATGTATTATGGCCCAATTCAAGTTCAATATTTCTTTACTTTCCAATAAGTTCTACATTTATGATTCTAGCCAAATTATTAGCATCGTTTGCATTATAAATTTTGTATACTTGATGGTTAGATCGAGCTAATTTTCTCTTAATTTTTCAAGAGATATGCGTTGACAATGGGCAGAAGGGCACCTCATTTTCCTTTAATTTTGAATTTTTAAATTTATATTGATATTTCAAAATTTTGATATCATTCTTTTTAATACGTTGGACTGACAAATTTGATTTTTTTATAATAAAATATCATTACTTATAAAGATTCGATATATACATTACAATTTTACTATAAAATTAAAAAAAAAACTCTTTTTTTTTAGCTGTCCTTTTTTCTCATATGTATGGGGTAAGGGGGAGGTAAGATAGTAGGACTCATCTAAAAATTAGATTTGAGCAACTCGACATGACTCGTTTTTTGTTTGGCTGATTAAGCCATAGGACTCATTTTTGTTTGCGGTGATGGCTGATTAAGCCATTAGTTAATACAATGACAAAATGTGAGAAGGGTCTCCTCCTGAATCTTTAGCATTATTTATCAATAATAAATAAAACCTCCTCAGCTTTGCCTTTTATATAATAGCGAATGCTAATGTTAGGAATGAAGAACCACCGTACAAGTGGCAACACCGCTTACCGTTTCCACCGTGCCAGTGGTCCCCGCCTTCCGCGTACCGAACGTAGCACTTAGCCAAATACATGTCTCCCCAACTGGCTGCAGCACAATCTGTTTTGAGCCGTCCGATCTCCGATTGCCTCTGATAAGCAATCTTGACACTCGCCCGGACTAAAATCCCCTACACAATGTGCCACACCCCGTAAATCCCCTGACCCGCCGATCCGAAACGGCTTGTAAGTCCCGTCACTCGCTCCCAAGTAACCCAACACCGCATAACGCCGAGAAACGTCGTATTATCATATTTCACGAAACACCCCTCGAGTTGCAACACGCCACCCGTGGAGTCGAGGCAAAGAGTGCCGAGTTGACTCACCGCTTTAGCGACACAGCGGCCAAAGTCTCCGTTGTTGAGGTCGCCACGGCACTGGAAGAGGCTGTAGACGG